GACCCCCGGCCTGTGCCAGGCTGGTTCAGAATCCCCAGTGGCAGAGCCCGACAAGAAAACACAATATATTAAAAAAAAAAAAAAAAGTAACCTTGGCCTTTAATCTCTCCCCGTGTCTTTTAGTGCTTCACAGTTACTTGAGAGTCAAGGAGAAAACTTTTTTTTGCATCCTGTGAAGTGCTTATGGTCTGCAGGTGCTTAATGTTAAGCACCTGAGTAATTCTGCTGACCCAAATGAGCTTTCCAAGCTCGGTGCGTGCTGAAACGCGTTGTGGAATTGCAGCTCGTGTGCCGATGCAGCGCGTAACCTTGGGGCGAAGCTGCCGTTCTGCACCCTGCAGAGCACGGGAAGACACCCGAGGAGCCGGGACATGTCCGGGTCTGTTCCTGGTGTCACCCGCAGCCCTGCTCGGAGCAGCCTCTGGCCGGTGTCTGAGGCTCTCGGGCAGAATGTGCCCGTGGGTCTGACCAAAGGCTCTGCTGTCCAGGAAAGGAGGGCTCATTGCCCAGCAATGATAAGGTCTTCAAGGTAGAATTAATTGCCTCGTGCAACGGAGAACGAGGCTCTAAATATAAACGCTGGTACTGCAGACACTGGGACTGTTGCTGCTGCTGTTGTGGGTTGCTTTTACGTCATTGCTGGGTTTTATTTATTTATTTATTGGATGAAGGTGATACAGCCAGTCTGCGTTTTGGGTCAGGCCTTGCTGAGGACCATCCACGGTGCAGGGCTGACGTGCTGCAAGGCAGGAGCTGGTGCACAAGCGTTCTGCAGGCAGTAGGCAGAGATCAGGAGCGCTCACGGACTGGCTTCCACAGGCACATCTGGGCAGGTGTTCTGGGCCAGAAAACCTGCTGGAGAGCCAGCCCACGCTGAGCATCCTCCAGCGTCAAACTCCTCAGTGTTTGCTCTGAGCTCTGGCTCCAAAGGCAGCGTTAACATGACGGCTCAAGCTGAAGTTTCCTGAAGTGCAGTGAGGTCTTGGGGAACTGAAATCAGGCATGGATAATGTGATGCAGTTGGCAAACCTAATTATAGTTGGAGCTATTAGTAGAATGCATAATTATTTAAATTGTAGACAAAATAGTCATTAAAATGACCTTCTTTGCATTATCCTGTTAAAGGTCAGCTAATCAAGATGCATCAATAAATATCCGAGTTGCTCTAGGAGGGTACCAGGCTGGTGCAGCTTCATTTTCCTCTTGCGTTTTCCCCCGCGCTGGCTGCAAGGCAGTACTGCTGTCACCGTGTCACCTCGGGTGTTTCCCTGCTCTCTGCCCGCCGCAAGCAGGATCATTTTCGTTGTCTCAAATGCCTCCTTTCTTGAAAACTTCCAGAATTGTGTGTTTGCACTGCAGAAAACGTTGGTGTCATTCTCTTTTAGAACAAGAGAGAAATTTCAGAGAGAGCCTGTTAGAGCTATAGATCATCCAAGTATATTCAGATCAAAAGCAGGTCAGTGCAAAGCCCTTCTGCATCCTTGACCCTTCCTGCTGGGATGCCGGTCCCGAGAGACCCTCGGAGCAGCAAGCACGGAGGTGTCTGTCACCCGCACTCTGCTACAGGCACTTGTCTTGCCTTGGCCTTGCTGTTTTATTCACTCAGAGAATTACCTGGGGGAAGGAGCTGGGTTTGCAGGTGACCCGCAGATACCAAGGGCAGGTTCTGCTGGGGAACGGTAGCACTGGAGAGCCAAAGCGGATACGGGCAGGTTGTATCCGCACGGATACGGGTGCTGCTCCTGGCACCGAGAGGATGGAGGAGGCTGCACGGCCACTTCGCTGCCCCGCGTGAGGGATTTTCCCCAGGGAAAACGTGAGAGCAAAAGCAAGCAGCTTGGTTTTAATGCAAGTCCGTTGGATGCGTTTCATTAGGCACAAGGTAATGACAGCTGACGGGCTGCATTTGCTGTGCTATTGTGTTGCTGAAAGCGCTATGAAATTTGCTTTAAAACAGTCTTTTCACATGAACTGAATTAATTCTTCCTCAAAAGAGATCAGTTAAGGCTTTCTCTGCAATAGGGTAGGGAAGCGCGGGTGCGTAATTCTGCTGAAAAATGCCCATGGGGGCTCCATAGAGCCTGGCAAATCCTGGAAATTCAGGCGATGGGAATAGCCTGAGCGCCCATGTGCTCGGGGCCGGCCCTCAGTCCCGCGGCACCAAGATGCCCTTGGGCATCCTGGAGCTGGGAATCCCCCAGGATCCCCTCGGTGCTGCGGGTGGGCGGCAGGTAGAGGCTCCTGCACCCGCACGTGCAGCAGCGGGAGCGGGACAGTCCGCAGCGGGGACGGGGCCCCCGGGGGGCTTTTCTTGGCAAACATTTTCCCCGTTCTTGCTTTATGTCTCAGCTTCTGCACGAGCAGCAATCTAGTCATCGCTCAGCGTCCCTGCAGGACTAAAATAGTCTCTTTGTTCAAAGACTTCAGCCTCGCTCGGAGACAAAATCCAGAATTTGCAAAGTCGCTGGCGTCTTCTGAAGCAGCAGTGGAGATGGAGCAGGTCCCTCCCGGGTGTCCTGGCTCTGGCATGGAGAGCCAGTGCCCAGCGCAGTGGTCCCGATGCCTCGTGGTGATCGAGGCTTCTAGCACCCGTGGTGCAGAGTTCGGGCTGGAAAACCCCACGGGGAACTTTGGGCAGCTTGCAGGTTCCCTCTGCAAGGCTTGGCTGAGCCCCTGCGCGCTGCAGGGGTGCATGAGAGCGGCCTCCCCGCGTGCTCCGTTGCCGCTCCTCGTGTGCCCTGCAGCGGGGCTCGTGCCATGGCCACTGGGGCAACTTCCCCTCACTCTCAGCCTAAAATCCCATCTCTTCCCTGCTCTCTCGTGTTTCCAAGGGTGCAGGCGGCTTTGGGAAGCACGGTGGAGCTAACCCTGCTCCCCGAGGCTGCCAATGCCTCCCACGCCGCGAGCACGCAGCTCCCGCGAGCACAGCCCGGGAATAACAGGGGAGCTGGGAGCTTCCACATGTAACACTGGAAAACATAATGGAAAGGGCTCGGCCTTGGCTTCTAGGGTGCTGTGGAAGCCAAGGCAGATGTTGCACCCCTTTGCTGACTTGGGGCAAGTGCCACCGAGTGGCTTTCTGGCTATGATGGCAGAGGGACAGCGGAGGCAGCAGATGGAGGCAGAGCTGCCCACCGCGGAGCGGGAACGAAGCGGCGGTGCCGAGCTGCTCCGCGGTGCGCGCGGCAACGCGGCAGACCGGGCGCCACAGGATGCTCCGCGTTCTCAGTTACGCGACTCGTCCCTGCGAGCGACAGGGAAGGGCAGAACGCAGCCAATGACATTGGGAGACGGCGCCTGCTCCGTCCCTCTTCCCTGGAGGGACATGGGGGATTATTCCCAGCCAATTCAGCAGGTTGGTCTGCAGTGCAGCGAGGCTGGGAAAGTGTCTCTGGATGTGGACAGCTGTGACCCCCGTCCTATCCCTCACCTGGCACAAAGAGCAGTGGGGCCATGGGTGCCATGCTGGGAATTTCCTGTCTGGGAAACTCGTGTTTCCATTTCAATCAATTTGGCTCCGATTTCCATGTATTGGAAGCCGAGCGCTGTGTCCAGGTGCCTGCGCTGCTGCTCGCAGCTCGGAGATGAGGAGTTTCCCCAGGAGCAGCTTGTTCCCCTCGGAGCAGGCTGCGAAGCGCTTGGCCCAAGCCAAGACACTGAGATGTCTATGGGATACAGAAATCATGGTGTTTTTTCCTGCCCAAACCCAGCTGATTGATGCGGAATTTGAGTTGTGTCCAGTTCTATGGTGGTTTTCTACAAAGCAATTTCACCTGGGGTTTTCTGTGCTAAGATGGAGCTGCACACAATAAATCCCCGGGTGAAGCCGTGCGTTGCGCTCACCGTTATAGCAACCGGAGCAACGAGGCTGGTCCTCGTGGCTCTTGGACGGGGTCCACAGCCGTCGGTGGCCGCTGCCTGAAGTCCATTAGCTGCCCCTCCAGAGCCAGCTGGCACGGTGAGCGCAAGGGCGGTTTGTTCCCTGCCAATATTCGATGCGGGTTTATAACCTTCAGCTTTTATTTTCCTCCTAGGATCCTCGGAGCAAACACAAGTTTAAAATCCACACGTATTCCAGCCCCACCTTCTGTGACCACTGCGGCTCGTTGTTGTACGGGCTCATCCACCAGGGCATGAAGTGTGACAGTAAGTGCGTGACCGGCCGAGGACGGGCTGAGCGGCTGGGGCCAGCACGGGAGGAGAATCTCACAGGAGGGATGAAGGAGGAGGAGGAGGAGATGGTAGAGACGGGTTATTTCCCAAATTAACCCGCTGCCTTCCTATTTAAACCGCCTGTGAACGTACACCGTCTGCTTGTGTGTCTGCGCGAGCAGCATGCGCTGGGGCTCGCCATGTGCTGCCTTTCTCTTAAATATAGAAGCTGGCGGCTGTTCGGGGAGCAATGTATTCGTTATCGCCCTCAAAACAGGACCAAGAAGAAAAGAATTTGCTTAAAAATATAGGGAAAGGTAAAAACACAGGGGGTTTGGTGCCCCTTCTTAGGCTGTCATCCCAGCGTTGCACCCCAGGCATTATAGACAAGAGGTCTGTTTGATCGTTAAAACTGGGGTGATTAGAGCTAGGGGAACTGGAAGTGTCTCCAGGAGAGATCCCGATGCCAGAGCTGCGGGCTCCCTGCCCGCCCTGGGACCCCAGATGTGCCCCAATAAAAGGAGGCCAAACTCGTCCCCATGCACCGCGGTCGGCCCGGGCTGCGTGGCGGTGCGGGAGGCCCGAGCGAGCTGTGCTTTCCTCCCCGCAGCCTGCATGATGAACGTGCACAAGCGCTGCGTGATGAACGTGCCCAGCCTGTGCGGGACGGACCACACCGAGCGGCGCGGGCGGATATTCATCAGGGCCGACATCGACAAGGACGTGCTGACCGTCGTAGGTGGGTGACGCGGGCGGGCTCCCCTGGCACCCGTGTGCCCGTGGGGACCAGGAGCAGCTCCGAGTGCCCGGCCACGGCGCAGGACGGGCCCTGAGCTGTCTGCAGAGCCTCTTCCCAACAACCCAGAGCTCAGGGGTGTCCAAAGCCACCGTGCTGCCTGTATTAAACAGCCATTGCTAGAACCACCAGTTTTTCTCATTGCTGGTTGAATCACGTCGTGTTCCAGCAGCTGCACCCCGAGCATGGGAGGGCGGGCGCTTTTCGGTGCAGCTCTGAGTGTGCCAGAGCGCGTTTGCTCAGCGCGTCGCGCGCCGGAGCGGGCGCCCGTTTCCCGCTGCTCTTGCTGTGCCCAAGGTGCCAGCTGTCCCCACGCGGCTCCTCGGGGGGCCCTTCCGCCTCCCGTGCTGTGACGGGAAGGGGCGTTCGCGGCTCCGCGCGGCGCCGGCGGGCGCGAGGGAAGCGCGGGCTGCCAGTGCCCTCTCGTGGCGCCGGCTCCGTGCAGGAACAGGCAGGTTTTGCATCGTGGAATTGGGCGCCTTCATCCGCAGAGACTCCAGGAAGCCTTAAACATCCCAGCATCCCAAATGCCATCCCTGTTGAGAAGCCCTCATCCCAGGTCCCCGTGTCCAGCCTTGACCTCTTGTCTGCTCGCACTTGTGGCGGGGACAGGTTGTGCCTTTTGCCTTTGAGAGCTTTTGCCGCCCGAGTTTGGGGTTGCTGGGCTGTGTTGCAGGGCTCGGTGCCCGCACTGCTCCCCAGAAATGCTCCAGAGCGCTGTGCGTGGGACACACGAATGTGGACTGGGAAGAGGACGGAGGATGGCGGCAGCAGGAGAAATGGGTTGTCCAGCAGGACACACTGAACCCCTCCTGCTTGTCCGAGGGCCATCATAGAATCACAGAACCACAGACTCATTACGGTCGGAAGGGACCTCTAGAGATCATCTAGTCCAACCCCTGCACACGCAGGGTCACCTAGAGCACGTGGCACAGGACTGCGTCCAAGCGGGTTTGAAGATCTCCAGAGAAGGAGACTCCACAACCTCTCTGGGCAGCCTGTTCCAGTGCTCTGTCACCCTCACTGGTAAGAAATTTTTGCTTAAATTCCTGTGGAACTCTTGGTGTTTCAGTTTGTGGCCATTACCTCTACGTCCTGGTCAGCAAGGGCACCGTGCGCTGCAGCGGCGCCGCCAGCACGGGGCTGTGGCACAAACAAGGCTTGGGATTTCCTGCCGCGCCTGGGGAAATGTTTTCCACGACCCGAGAGCGCTGGCTGGTGCGGCCCAGCCGCGTTACGTGGATGCAGCACTGATGGAAACGTCCTTGGGAAGGGCACTGAGTTACTAAAAACATCGGTTTTAGTTTGAAGAGGAGGTGCAGGCGCGGCTTTTCTGAGGGAGGATTTCAGGGCAACCCGCAGCATTTTCCTGCTGTGGTGCTGCCCTGCGGGGGCCGGCAGGGCTGGCACCGATGCGCTACGCAGGGCCGGGGTGGCAGCTGGATTCTCCTCGTCCTTCTGCTGCCTTTGGAGAGGCTGCCTCGTCCTGGGTC